ATACAAGTTTTTTAAAGAATTAATACCGAAACAACAGCGAAAAAACATGTTCATTGAGAATATAAATTGTTCAGAAAAGTTTGCAACGAAAGACAAATGAATTTGCAGTCAACAAGCACTTACTATACTACCAAACATCCGTATAATGTATCTGAGCTTTTCTGTGAGATATACCGGTTCTAAAACGATTTCTTTCACTTCGTCTTCGAGTTGTAAAACAAAAGTATTTCAAATTTTCAAGGCCAAGACTATATTTTAAAACAGACTATATTATAAAACAATTAGACTATATTATAAACAATATTATAAAACAATAGACTATATTATAAAACAATTATACTATTCGCTCTCGTCGTATATGGCTGATAGCCGACTCGGTGCTACGCACCTCGTCGGCTATCAGCTCATATACGACTCGAGCTCATGGTATAATTGTTAAATATAAACGTATTTTTCTGACTGTCACAAGTTGTGTAATCCTTTTAAGGATATTTTTTACTTAAAAGTATTAGACTAAAAATAATGCAACAATAACGAAGTATAATTGCTTTTTTTTGGTGGAAACACTTGCATGCATGCATGTATATTTATTTAGAAAAGTTTTCAAAAGCTTTCCTAAACAAATATACGTGATGTTTACACTAACAAAGCAAAACAATTATAGATATTTTGCCATGTAGGCATACAAGGAATTTAATAACAAGGTAATGCAAATAAATTAAAGCAGTAATCGATATACCTGGTACTGCTTAGTGCGATGCTGTCTGCTCGGTAGAATTTGTGTGCTCACGCGTAGTTTCAACTTTGTGAGAATCTATAAATCATTAAATGTGAGAAATATTCTAAATTGATCTACGATTTAAATACAATATATACGGAAAACGAGAAAAGTAAGTCCACAAATAGAATAATCACTCTCGGGGATGCCAATCAGACTAATCCAAAGCCCAATTTTTGACGAGAACCGAGTGAAAATTACTCTGGAGACTAGAATGACTTATATATGCTTGTATCTGAAACAAGCAGCGTGCATGTCGTGTGTATTTTTTCTCGTACAACATTGATCATGCTGATCGTTTCAGTAATAAGTAAAATGAACAACGTGGTTTCAAAATAACAGAAACTAACATCTCATTATAATAGAAGTCAATAGCGAAGTACTGAGTACGATTAAGAATTCCAGATGAGATTGTTCTACAGGACATGATAATATACCTGCTATATTTCTTAAACTTGCTGCTGATTTTTTAGCTGGTCCTTTAACAGCTATCATTAATAACTGTATTGATAGCTTAAAATACCCAACGTTGTGGAAGCTAGCTCGGATTAGTCCAATACCAAAAATAGATAATCCAGAACATGTTGACCTATTTCGATCCTACCGTGCATTTCAAAGATTTTTGATAAGTTAGTCGCAAAACAAATTGTGACCTTTTCCGACTCACAGGCTATCCTTATAACGACAAAATTGCGAAAACAGCTTGCCGAGGCACTAGTTATTACAAAGCTATATTATTGTGTTGTTGTATATAATCCTCTTCCTAAATATTTAGTTAAAAGGCTCCAGCGCGTACAGTATGCGGCAGCTGGTTTTGTCGCTTCTAAATGGATCAGTGACGTTAAGGAACTTATTAAACTAGGCTGGTTGCCTGTTGAGGAAAGAAGGGAGTGGCATTTACTTAAATTTTACTTTCTCGACGACTTTGTATGTTCGTATCTTCGGTTCAGTGCTAGGTTAGTTCGGTGCATCCTATGAAGACATATAATACCACCATTCGATTCAGTGAAACAATATTAACTAATTGCTCACAATAATTTTAGCCATTATCAACATTGTAGCGATTTATGGCCGTATTGTACTCGTATTATTGACAAAACTGTTTTATAGTACTCGTGTTATTGGCCGCAAATCCATTTATGGACAACAGCGGAACTAACCGTCGATAACCGACTTTAGCTCGCAATTTCTATGCTCGCAATGCATTACATCAATACGTCATCAATACATCATCACCTGGGGCCGGTTGTACGAAGGCCAGATAGCGCTATCCCTGCCTCGTCCCCAGTCGCTTAAACGATAATACTTAATCAGGAAAAACGAAAAAAAATGAATAATTAAGAGAAAACGAATAATTAGAATAATTAAAAATTAATGCGAATAATTAATGAGGGCGCGCGGAAAGATGGGAAGGGGAGGAGTTGTGGAGCGAAGTGGGGTAGCCTGAAGCTTGAACTGAGCACCTCACTTACGACCTTTTTGTACGAGTAACCACGAGTAACCATGCAATTAAATAAGTAAATATGATATTATCTTTTATTTGAATATCTTTTACTCGTGGTTACTCATACAAAAAGTCTATATCTCCGATATACTAGTGGTTACTCGTCTTGATATGTTTGCTACAATGTTACAAATTCTTTTCTGGCGTTCTAAGACAAATATATATGTACAAACTTACTCAGTTGAACCGTAACTAGCGTCTAGCCTATGTACATAGCGTTCTGTAACCTGTCACCAATATACTTACGATTTTGTTAGTTTGCGACATTTCAAACATACAATATATGCACAGGAACGTAAGATAAGTATAGTAGGTGGCGCGCAAAACCAAATAAGCGAGTTTATGAGAAAGTAATATAAACTAGTGCGTGCGAATGTATAACTATTATCACGCAATCCAATTTAAATTAGAATATTGTGCGACATTCAGTACGTCAGTTAATGCTTAACAGATGCTGAAAGTTTCATGCAGCCACCTTATATAATTTTGAAGTTACGGATATTTCAGGTGCCATGACCATGGAGTAAAATGCTCAATCAGTGACATTGAACGATAGAACACTTAGACAGGAAGTTTATTTTTGTAAACAATTGCAAAAATAACATATAAAATCTCCCTACCCCATTTCAATGTTGCTGTGTGTTCTGGGAGAGTTATCAGCAACGCAATACAATTAACACTTCAAATAAAATGCCAATTTTAGTCTAACAACATTGTTTTTTTAGTCTGGAATCCGTTACTAACCTATCCTAGTATTCTTCCCGTAATAAACTAATGGATCACCAATAATGAATGCCCTCATTAAATAAAGTTTTTTTTATATTTTAAAACATTCTAAAGATAATCGAACATCATGTCATTGTTATCAGTACTGTATTAAAACTGCAATGTCAAATGCAGCATTGAACGTTTTAGGTTTTTAATAGATTTAAACTTACCTGTAATCCTTGAAAATCTTTCAATTGCCTTTCTTGCAATACTCTCTTGATGTTTATCTTCTCGTTCTTTTGAAATTTCCAAGGCTTTCTTAAAGTATACAATCGCCCCTGAAAACTGATCGTTAACTTCAAAAACATGTCCCAACCCAATGTACGCCTCTAACTCTACACATTTATCTTCTCGTCTTTTTGCGATATCTAAGGCTTTCTCAAAATATTCAATTGCCTTTTGAAACTTATTGTTCTCTTTATAAGCATGTCCTAAACCAAGTAATGCTTCTGTTTCCTGCTGTTTATTTTCACTTTCTTGTGCTATATCCAAGACTTTTTCAAAGTGTTTAATTGCCTTTTGAATCTGATTGTTCTCAATATTAACAATTCCTAAACTAAGTAATGCTTCTGTTTCCTGTTGTTTATCTTTTTGTTTTTTTGCAATCTCCAAGGCCTTTTCAAAGAATCCAACTGCTATCGAAAACTGACTGTTCAGTCTATAGGCATCTCCTAATCTAAGGTATGCCGTTGTCTGATGGGCTTTATCTTTTCGTTTTTTCGTAATTTTCAAAGCGTCCTTAAAGTATTTAATTGCCATTTCCAACTGGTCTTGTAAATTATAAGCATCTCCTAACAGAAGTAATGCCTCGGTTGCGTCGTGATCTTTATCTCCCCGTTTATATGAAGCCGCCAAGGTCTTTTTAAAAAATTCAATTGCCTTTTCAAGTTCGTTGTTCTCTTTATAATCATGTCCTAACCCAATTAATATCTTTGTTTCCCAGGGTTTCTTTAAGTATGCAGTCTGTCCACCGGTCCGTAGGCAAACATTCTGTAACCCAGATAATGCTGCTCTTCCCTGTTCTTCCTCTTTTCCTTCTTTTGCAATTTTCAAGGCTTTTTCATAATATTTCGTTGCTATATGAAGTTCATTTTTCATTTCATAAGCATATCCCAACTCCAGATTTGCGTGGGTTACTTTGTTTTTCTCTTTTAGTTTTTGAGCCAATTTTAAGGCTTTTTGAAAGTTTTCAATTGCCAGTTGGAACTGACCGTTTTCTCTACAAAGACGTCCAGACTCGACTAACGCTTCAAATTCTTGCTTCTTTACAAGTTTTTTGGCCATTTTCAATACTTGTGCATTATAGTCAAATACTTTTTGCCTTTGATGGCTGAAAGTAGAAATAAGTTTCTTGCTTTAAAGTTATTAAGATAAAACGAGCTGTGGATGTTCATTAAACCCGAGCCAGATGCTTAAGATTTTGAAAGCTAGAACCCCGAAAATGCCATTTCTTGTGATTTGACCACTAAATTATGAGGTCCAGTTTTACCTCAAAAAGTGGCAAAACCTTACAAATCTCATGGCTGACTTGATTGTTTTAGTTACAGAATAAATAATAAAAGAATTATTGATTACGTAGGATATCAGAACTATTCAGACTTCGGTCAGCATGGCTGCCTCAGCTTCGCTTCGTTAGATAATGCTGACCTCGGTCTGAATAATTCTGATATCCTGCTCTGCCTCATCGAATAAATAATTCTTAAATGTCCATTTTGGAGTGGTGACTGTGTTAAAAAGGCCAACGTGACGGCATCGATTTCAGGACACCGCTGATAGTTCTAAATAAAAGACAACCTCGTTTACATGAAGTTTTGGAGAGAAACGTTAATGTGCAAGGGGCGACGAGAACAACAAAAGGAAAGAAGCATTTCTTTTTATTTTCCCATTACTCATCGCGCGCTTATTTGCCACCTGTGGGATCTTTATATACTTCTTTGTAAGGGCGCGAGGAGGCGCTATGGAGAGTTGCAACTCTCCCTCACGTTTCCTTCTGGTATATTTATGGGGGGGGGGGGGG